CTCTTGTAGTGCTTCAATATGAAAGAGTGTAAGCCAATTTTCACCCTATTTTCTATCAAGTTATCTTCAAGTATGAGTCCTAGCATTGAAGTAGGGAGGGTGAAAATGTCTTGAGTATTATATACATCGACGGTGGGAAGTCTTATGAATATCATGATCAGTATAAGACCAGACATTGCATAAACAGTGAGAACGATTAGTAGATTAATGACAAATTATGGTGGAGAGCATGAATATTATTAAGAGAATTCTTATCAAAGGAACCTTAAATGTTGTATTATATTTTGGAGGATCAAAACTAGTTGTCAGATACTGTGTTCAGGTTTTACAAGTGATTTTGATGAGTTTACCTTTGTTGGAGAGACAATAACTAGTTATCTAAGTTATAGGATGTTGTAGTTCTATCTATTGTAGAAAATGAGTACATGGAAGTCACTCAGGCATGTAAGGAATCTATTTGGATTAAGAGGATAATGGAGGAACTTGGGTACAAGTAGCAACATATTGTTATGCATTGTGACAGTCACAGTATCTTGCACATTGCAATGAATTCTGCCTTGTATTTTAGGACAAATCAAGAATAACCTAGCAGATTTTATGACAGTCGGTTAGTAGTGATAAGTTTACATATAAACGATCTTACTAAAGGTCTATTCAGTAACATAGAAGGCAGTAATAATATATTATGAAGATTTGATTAATTTAATCAAAATCTTCAAGTGAGAGAATATGAGAACGTGAGAAGAGAAGTCTCACATCAGGGAAATTATATATTGATACTTACTTTTCTTGTTATAAAAGGAGCACGGTGTCTATCTTGTAAATCACCCTCAAATCTCTTTTTCTCATTTCTACTAGTTCATTGTATAGTAGTTGAGTTCTCTTATTTCTTAGAGAGGATATTATTATTATTTTTTCTTCATATTTAAAGAATGTTTTGTAATTTTTTTTCGATAGTAAACTTATATTATTACCTGTTGTCGGCTTTGTTTCTCTTTTCTTATATTTTATTTTAGTTGTGAGTTATTACAGTTACTCTGATTTCTATAACAAGAAGAAGAAAGGAAAGGTTGGGTGTGGAGAAGAAATGAATAGAATGAATAAAGTAAAAAAATAATAAGACATATGACGACGATTCTTATTATAATCGTTGTTGTATGTGACATACAATGATGATTTTTATTATAATTATTGTCGTATATCACATACGAAGATCATCATTATAAAGGAATTATCATTAAAAAATTAATCATATAACAATTCTTTTATAATTGTCATCGTAAATCACATTTGAATATAAATATAAAATAATCATCATATTATAGGTCACATATGACAATAATTATAAATTAATTATAGTTAAAAAGTAAAAAATATTTACAAAAATACCACCACCACGTCTATTAGGGCAATTATGGTTAAAAATGAAATATATTTTTAGTGAACTTTTGAAAATTATCCATGAAAGTTATAAGATTCAATTAGGTGTTTTTTCTTGGTGTCAATAATTACCATACCAAGTAATCAAATTCTATTATGGCTAGCTCATCTCAAAGGCCAACTAGGTTCTTCAAATCTACAACTAATTTTTAATTAAGTGGAAGAATTAACTTATGACTATAATGCAAAATTAATGGAAGAAATAATGATGCAATCACAAATATTTTCTTACCATTATCAAAATTAGGAAATATGAGTAGAAGTGAAGTTAGATAAAATAATTGTTCCATGTCTACATAATTAGACTAAGAGAATCTCAAGGAGATACGGGTTATTTGAAAGGTTGCAGGATCTAATTTGTAGCATTGTTAAGTAGACTAATCAAATGAGAATGTTATATAGAGTAGGTAAGGTATGATGTGGATAAGGTTATTGGTAGATAAATGTGTAATCTACAGTAGTGGGAGGTGTGGTGGAGATCTTTAGGAGATGAGAATTTGTAACTTATACTTTATAATTTTGGTTATTAAATTTGATTATTATTAAATATATTTATTTGTTTATTTATAATTTTAATTTCTCATAATTTTATATTTATTTATCATTTATTAATAATATATTATTTATCTTTTAAAAAATATTGAGTTTAACGATAAAATAAAGGTGTAATCTAATGAATAAGATGTAAAGTGTCATATACTATACTAATGCGTATGTAACATAATCTTTTTAGGAATACGAGACATTTTCCCTTCTATAATTACCCGAAATTGTAATATAAAATTTAAATTAAAATGAATACCAAATTCTTTAAAAACGTATTTCATTATAAACTCTCTCTTAATACCTAACTATATAATTTTTATTTGCCCTTCATTTAGATCTAATTATATTCCACAATTTTAAAATCTTATATATAGGAAGTTTTTTTATCCTTAGCCAATTTGTCTTCTTGAGAATAATTTTAATTTAGAATGAGATTTGAAGATGTCGAGTCGAGGTGGTTCGAATTCGTTTTGGTAGGTATTTTTATTATCCTAAAAATGGATTTTATTTGAATTGAATCTAATTTTTTTTTTAGAAAGATATAATAATATAAATTATATACGAAAGGCTAACAATAAAATCCATTGATATTTCCTTTTTCAAGTGGAAAATATAAAAAAAAAAAAAAAACTTCGGAGAAGCACTCTACAAATATGTAATGATGGTGTTGCATATGGTGATGCGAGGAAATGTTATTAATTTTATTGTCTATATTATTTATAGACTTAGGCCACAACCACTTTGAGAATGATAATATTATAATAAAAAATACTTATATATATATATATATATATATGACTTATAAAATTAACATTACACTACATAGAAACTTCTATAGAAGCATGTTTTATAAGTTTTTATGCACTATGCTTCGTTATTCATTTACTTTTATTCAAACCAACTTGATTTGTATCTCCACTTAGTTTTCTGATACAACGCAGTTGCAGCATGGTCTCGTGATTAGTCTCTTTCTCTTAGATCTTTCCGCCTTCTGTTCATGACTTGTGGCCTCCTCTCTCTCTCTCTCTCTCTTGAAAGCGAAAATGCACCTTAGAGAGGTGTAACAAAGACTGTGTCCTGTGTGATTCACTGGTTAGTTCAAATTGCAAATATTGGAAAAAACACAGGAAATTAGTTTCCCCCTCGTATAGATAAATACTCCCTCAAAAGAAACTTGAAATTAAGGAGAATTAAACAAAAATGTGAAATGATTTAGAGAGCACACTTACCCCTGCAAAAACTGATCCTAAGAAGTGACATTTGCTTTCGGTTGTAGATAAGATTATAGTCTGCGAAGGGAGTTCAATTTTTGCACACTGCATAAAGATGTAATGTTCAAATGTCATGATTCGAATTTCATACTATAAGTTACATTCACATATATGCAACTAATACTAAAATTCAACATGAAAAAAAATGATCCCTATACATATGACGTACCAGTTTTTTGCTCTTCATATGATCGTACAAGTCAAGATTGTTGAATTTAATTATGTGAAAGAACACATAATCAATAGGTCCACCACAAAGCCTAAGTTTAAATGTAATTAGAAGACGTATAAGACTTCCTGAGAAAGGGGAAATGTGAATTAAAAGACAGCAATAACATTATATGCCACAAAATTACTTCATTGTATAGTTGACAGTTTTTGTGGGTAAGAAGTGGACGATCTGCAGTCTACTCCACCAATCAGCACCAAGCCTGCATAATGACATAAAAAATATAATTATATTGAAAAATAAAATAAAAATCAGTCACACGTTCTAAAGATTTAGATGAAACACACAATAATTAACGTAGTTTAGCACTTGATTATGTCCACAAAGTTCTCTTCAAAAGTGTTTCACTAAGATCATATATATATATATATATATATATATATATATATATATATATATATATATATATATATATATATTTCCACAGCAATCCTTAACCTACTCAATGACTTTTCTTTTCTTGCTTTGATTGTCAATTTATATATGAAGTTCACGACTCTTTCTGAAATGATTATGGTATACTTGAGTTTTTTCGGTGTTAAGATACATTTCAATATTTGTTATATCTTGACTTTTCACTACCAAGTCTATTTTAAAAATTGAATTATTCTTTTGATAAATCGTGCATTTAAACAATAATATGTATACCTTTGGATTTTTATATAGAAAATTCTAAATTATGATTAAAGCAAAGTTAATTAAAAAAGTTTTAAACAACTTTTTGTTTTTTATATAATATATATGATTTTTCCTTAGCATGCCAAATTTTTAATTTTGAAAATGAAGACAAGGACAATTAAGAAACTCTAGGAATCGAATATAAATACACTTACGTGACAGGTGATGTTGGTTTCTTCACTGCCTGTTTCAGATGGAAAAAACAGGGAGAAAATTTTCATAATTTTTACAATATAGGTTTCTCAAATAAAATTGATCTCATCATTAAAATCATACATTAAAAATATTTCTTGTACAATTAATTAAGTATATCATACCTTTGCAGCGTTAAGGGATTCGCGAAACGAGTGAATTTTGGCATACAAACATCCCTATATGCACAAGAAAATATATTTAATGTAAAAACTCTATATGAAGTATAAACTAATATTTATATATTTAGTTATCTTAATATGGTTTCAGAGTTAATGTAATCTATATGGCAATTGTAATCTAAATCTTCTTAGACATGTATAAACACACTAACAAAAGAGAATAAATTCTTCACAAGTTAATGATCTATCAAAATAAATCAAGAAATATCGAAAACAAAACACTATAAAATATTAAAGTGATGTATATAATGTTAACATTGTCTGTACAGATATTGTTATGCAGACAAACGTAAAGCTGAGATGGTTTATGATTTATCTCTTAAATTTTTTGTGTTCTTACGAAATTTCAGACAGGGCTTCGATCAAAGAACATGTCAGAAACCATTATAAAGGACAAGGATATATATACCATCCAATTAAGGTTCTGAATTATTGTAGCATATAATCATAAAATGAGGCATGTTAGTTCACCTTCCATGCACGCACGAAGCTATCAAAATCCCTGAGAGAGGGTGGGCGAGGCCAAAATAGTCCATGATTAAATCGATGTACCATTGCAGATGTACCTCGTGCATTGTTCCCAATCATTTGTAACGGAAGGGACCTTTGAAATTGTTGATAAATATTGCTGCTACTACCATAAGGAAGCACTGGGAAGCTTGGTGATTGAAATTGAGTGATTGAGTTTCCTGTTATATAAGGGAAAATGGTATTACCAAATGAAGCATCAACTCGTTGAGGAACTTGTGGATCATTAGTTCCTAACCCTACTGCTGTGCTATTCATAACGCTTGGATGATTCCATGCATTTGGTCCCGCAACCCACAAGTTTGGATTGTTTTGAGGCAATGACAAACTTGAATTTGGACAGTTTCTGGAGATGAGACTAGAATTCGCTACACCCATGTTGGCTTCTTGTTCCTGAGCTAGCTCTTTTGGAGGCCCTTCTCGTATGAAAGTGGATGGATTGGATACTACAATCCTAGGTGAAATTGAAATGTTCACTCTCTCAGATGAATATGGAGTCACTTGAATAATGGAAGTTGTGTCTTTGGTCACATTGTTGTGTGCTGGAATATCTATAGGAACTTGTCCTGATTCTCCTTTTTCAAGAACTTCCAAAGAAAAATGATCCAAAGGAAACGGTTCATCTAGTTGAAAAAGGCTTCTGAAAGTGTCATCTGCCAGTGGTAAAATATCATTGTCATTGCATAGCTCTGCCATAAAATCATCGTACATCTCATCTGTTGTTGCTTCCTGTTGGATAACTGGGGTTAGGGTTCCTCCAGAATTCTGAACACGGTACGTTGAAAATTAATATAGATAAAGTGAAACCAAAATTAATAGGGAAAATACTATAAAAGAAATTTAACTTTTTGAAGGTGATAGAAGAAGAATAACTCCAATTATTTTACCGAATAAACTTAAGTTTTTTAGAAAAGACAATACGTACATGTCTATCATTTTGAACACCCTCCATGGTTTTCTTTCCGATGGCCATGCAGCTGAGAATTGCTCTTCTGAAAATATGAAACAAAACACGTTATGAACAACACAGAATTTTAGTATTCACTAATGTATATAAGGGAAAACACAGAAATCTAAAACAAAATCCACGATGAGCTTCAATACTGGTAAAAATAAATAGAAAAACAAAATGAAATGCAACTTTTGATGACTTTGGACAGAAGAATGTATTCAATACATTCATAAATAAATTATTCTCCACTATGTATACTGCAGAAGATACAAACTAAAAGGAAGAAACAAAAGTTGTGTAATAAGCTAGAGAAAGATGAATCTATAACAAAAGGATAGGAACGCATATTCAGAGGGAGAACCTTCAAGAACTAGTGAAAATTATGGGAACTGTAACATCATTTAGTTGTCTTCCTTGATTACACTTCTATTTTAGGGTGAAATATTTGTTCATTTTTGTAAAAGACATTGAGTGCCTCTTCCGAATTTCTTGTCAATGAAACTTTACACTAACAAATTCTATCGTCTTTGCAGTGTTTACTATTAGACAGATGCATGCGAAGGGCGTGTTTCCCTTTCCCCTGCTGTTGGGGATATTTTTCAGTAGTGACGTCAATCACTTAATTGTTCCTTTCAGAAAGTTAATAAAGTTACTTACTTTTACGGATTCTGATGCTCTGCAACCGGAACTTTTTCTTCAAATTTCTTCATTTCTCATTTTTTTTCTCTCTCTGTATGATGAATTGACTCGAAGAGAAGCAGTTTAGAAAAAACAGAGTAGAAAAAAATGGACAGACTATACATTAAAACAAAATATAGTAAAGATTATGTAAAGAAAATAATATAAAAAAAACTTAATTATAGTACTATAAATACTGTTAATGTTCTTTCTAATTATATTTAGAGTTTTATTTTGATAATATATACTGTGCATGTTATATATATTATGTATTATTATTAAAAAACTTTAGATATGGTTGCTGAATAGCACCTATAATAAATATTGAATATAAATTTTTTCCTATTTTTGTAGGAAAAGTGAGTGTTGAAACAAATAGAAAAACATAAATATGTGTTGAGTGGCAAACATAGAGAGTCACTGAATCAGTTTAATTTTTCCCTTACTTTTATTTCATATTTTTCTAAACTCAACAAAGAAGTGATCTAATATTTCAAAAGTTTGAAATGAGATTTTTAAGTATATGATTTAATTCTATAAAGTATTTTTATTTTAAAAACATTTTTTTCTCAAAATATACATTACAACGTTCAGTTTTATATTGACCATTATAATTACTTATTTAACTTCACTTAAACATGCTCTAATTAATTTTGATAAGTTACTTCCAGGTGCTAAGCAATATTCATAAAAAATAATTTTGTTATCTCTTTTAATTAAGAGTGAATTAGATTTTGGGAAAAAGTATAATGTAACTTGCTTTTAAAGGTAGTAGAGAAATAAAAAAATATAACAGAATAATAATTTATAAATACAATTGTTTATATTTTTTCTAGTTATTGGCTATAAAATGTCATTTTTATAATAAAATTATATATATATATATATATATATATATATATATATATATATATATGTTTTATTAGTTTGTAATATGGCAATATAAATAGTTTCTTCTTATCTCTACATATTATTTTAACAAATTAAAATTTAATATATATATATATATATATATATTAATTTTAAAATATAAATATTTATTACTAAAATTATGTATTAATAAAAAAATGTGGATGAAGTTCGAAGAGGAGAAAGAGAAATTGAAAAAAAAACCGTTAAAAAATTGAAAAAAGATATATAATAGTTTTTATTATTTTATTATTTATTAATTTATATTCGATAAAAAAATTATAAAAAAAATATGATTAAAGAAATAAGTTTAATAGAAAAAAATTAAATATAAAATAAATAATTTATTAAATGATCGATAAAATATTATTAAAAAAATCATCTATATAATATTACATCCAAATACCCACTATCTTAAAAAGATTTAAGTACGGCAAAAACATCACAATTTTATTGCTTCATTACTAAAATATATAATTTTTTAAAAGATACTATGTTCGAAAGGATAAGAGAAAATAAGTTTATTTTTAAATTTATATTTTTAAAGTTATAAAACAGCTGTACTAAAAAGAATTTTTCAAATTTTTTTTATATATTTTAACATTATAAAAGTTGTGTTAATTAGATCATTTGATTTTTTTTTTAGTTTTTAGGTTAGAATTCGTGTTATTTAACCTGTAAAATAAAGTTTTTTTTTTCTATTTTGAATAGAAATGGTACTGTATAACACAATTTTAGGTCATTTTTTAAAAATAATTTTTAAAAAATCTTAAATAATTTTTATTAAAAAAATTAGTATTATATTATATTTATTAGTTGAATATTTGTTACAATAGCTTACTACTATTTCTATATCCTAAGAAAGAAATAAAAATCAAGGTTCTAAAAACCAAAAATTAAAAAAATTAAAATCATATATTATATAGCAGAACTTCTAAAACTTATGTATATTAAAATAAAATAACATTTAACTAAGAAAATCATATTACATTTTCTAAATTTTTTAAAAATAAATAAGTGTTTAAATTGTATGACTTTTCTTGATAAAGTTGCATTTTCAAGTAAATAATTTGTTAAAATTTACCTATGTAATAATTAAACAGTCAAATTGGATCAATTTGGTGCTTTGGTCGTAAGTAAAATGCATATCGGGTCAAATGATTTTGCCACTTATATTGTTTAAGAAGATTAAATGGATAATTTGTTGAAACATCAATAATATTTGTGTCTTGCCCTAAATTATGGGTTCCTTATTAGTTGCATCCCCACAAAAATCTAACACGTACAGAATCCGATAAACCCTAATGAGACAACTTGTAATAATCCATAGTACCTAATATAACATGTCCAAACAAAAATTCATGAATCACAAGTATCTTAGAACCACAAGCCACCCAGAGTAATAGAAATTGGTTTTGCAAAGTTGCTACATCTATCTCTTCTATTGAGAGCCAAATGCATACTTCATGGAGGTTGAACAAATACAGCATCCTGTGACATTTAAATACCCAAATCTTCTATCAAAGGACAACTTGAAAATAATGAATATAATGTGAAGTAGTATTGACATCACACTTACCCCTTCGAAAACTGACCCTATGTAGAGATTCATTCTTTCCGTAGTAGATAATAGCAAAGTATGAGAAGGAAGAACAATTTTTGCATACTGCACAAAAACTTACGTTAAAATGATTCTTCTTAAATGCAGCGAAAAGCATCCACTCAGACAATTTTCCCAAATATATGTCACTCACCACTTGTTCACTCATGAGATGATCGTACAGTTCAAGATTACCGAATTGATTCACTTCAAACAACATGTAATCAAGGAATCCACCATAAACCCTAAGTTTAAACGTTATCAAAAAAATGTATAAGATTTCGTTAAAAGAGAGAATGTTAAAAAATAGAAAAGAATAGACAATAAAATTACCTAATCGTATGGATGACAGCCTTGTTGGGCACGTAGTGGGTGATCTCCATCTTACTCGTCCACTCTTCTGTCAGCCTGCATTCAACCGTTATTTCAACTACCATGTCACTATGTTTAGATTTTCATTGCCAAAACTACTCTATATATTATTATTATTATTATTATTAATCCCAGTAAATATATTCTTAAAAATATTATAATTCTGAAGCTATGCTTAGACATCTCTAAAATTATATTCGGTTAATTATTTACATTCCCTGAAATATTTTTGAAATTTTAAGGTAATCAAAATAAAAGTAAAAGTAAAATAGAAGTGATAGCTGTAATGCACAGATACCAAGGATCTTTTGCATACCAACACTTTCTTTTTGAGTATTTTTAATAAGAATTATTTGTTAAATATTTAAATAAAATATTAGTTGTTTAAAATTATATTTTTATTAAAAAATAATCATTAATTATTTTATTAAATAATTTATAAAAATAAAATAATAAATAATAAATTTTTTAAAGTTTTTAAAAAAATTATATTATAATAAAATTAATTATAAATTATTTATGATATGAAACAATAAATCTATATTTTATATTTATTCTTTTATAATTCATAAATTCATGCATCTATTATATTCTTAAAAATCTTAAAAGATATATTCTAAATAACTTAATTAGACTAGTTGAAATAATGAGACATCTTTACATATAAATATTTTTCATTAAAATACTATAAATATATTTTTATTTAGAGATATATAGTGTTAATTATTATACATTTATAACATTATTTTACCCATCAGAAAAGAAATATTTTTAAGAGTACATTGACACATTTTTTATAAAGAGATTCCTTAACAGAAGAACACTTCTCGAATAATGAGAAACACCCCATCAAATAGATATAAAAATCGTAGGTCTTATATAGGTAATCGGTGTTCACCGTAGCACCAAATAACACCTTCTAAGATAACATGATAATAACAAGAAATATGGTGAACTAGAGAGAAGCAACACTACTAGCTGAATACCACGATCCTAAAATATGATAGAGAATCAATTGGTAATAGAGCTAAGAAACTAGCTAGAGAGTTTTAAGAAATGCAATGTAAAGGGGATGGTTGTACTAAAACAAGAGAAGACACATTCAGAAGTTGGAGGATAATGTAAGGTGTGGCATCTTAGCAAGGTCGACACACTCTCAACCCTAACCCTGCCTTGTATTTGTCCAAAACACACAAAGTCGATAACAACCCAAGACCAGGAATGTACACCTTCATTCATTTCACCTCAACCACATGACAAAGAAGGCACACTTTAATCGATAGTATCATGGAAATACCGCTATCAAGTACATGGAAGAACCTTACCATAGATCGATACAACAAATCAAGTATCTTAGACGAGCATGTTATTGTCCACATGACCTAAGTCAGTTCTCATACCACAAATGATGTGATTTTTTGAAGAGACTTCCCCACTTTTCTCAAAGGAACAACTTTGAGTAAATTTGCTAGGCTCCCGTCAAACTCTATTGACTATATTGCACCCTAATAACCAAGTTCGGCACCAAGTTTGTAACAAGCCAACCAAAGCACATAACCTCCATAGTGTTTGTTAACGTACACTAAGGTAAAGGGGAGTCCTTTTGGAGCCTTCACGGAGAGAATAAAAAAGGTTGATTTGAATATTTAAAACCTTAGTTTGGAAGTAGCATTCCATCACATTGTCACTTACACCAAGATATTTATCCGAGAATCTCTATTTAAAACTACCATTAATCTTGACGTACCAAGAAGTGTTGGATAAAATTAAATAGAAAATAATAGATTTAAATATTAGTTAAAATATTTTGATTTTGCAGATATTTTGAATAGTTAATATTATGATTTTATATATTTATTATTTTGATGTTAGTTAATGTTAGGATTTCAGAAAATTTATTCTAAACCTATAAATACCTAGTTGTATTATTCAGTTTTAGTAATAACATTTAGCTTCCTCAATTTCTTTGTTATCAAATTGGTATCAGAGTTAAGCTTAGAGTGTTTTAAGTATGAGAGAGCTTGAAGAGAGTGATGACTAGTCTAATAAATGATGTGGCCTTGCCCCGGTTGACTAAAGAAGTCAACTATGATAAATGGAATCTTCATATGAAGGCTCTTCTGAGATCCCAAAGTAATTGGGAGATAATCAAGAATGGCTTTGAGGAACCATAAAGAACCTAAGGTTTTTCAGCAGCTGCAATCAAAGCATTAAGAGAAAGTGTGAGAAGGATATCACAACCTTGTATATGTTGTACCAAGATGTAGATGATTCTAACTTTGAGAAGATAGTAAGTAATAAAACTTCAAAAGAATCGTGGAAGGCATTGGAGATAACAAATAAGGGTGATGATCAAATTAAACAAGTTCGGCTACAAACACTACATGGTGAGTTAGAGACCATGAGAATGAAAGAATCAAAAGGAGTTTCCGATTACATCACACATATTTAAACCGTGGTAAATCAACTTAATCGAGATGGAAAGACACTTTTCAAAGTTTATGTTATACAAAAGATCTTGAGGTTGTTAACCGATGACTTTAAGAATCAAGTGTATGTGATAGAAGAATAAAAAAACTTGTTTGAACTCACGGTATGAGAGTTTGATGGTTCTCTTTAAGTCTATGAGTACATGAAGAAGAAAAAGAAAGAGGAGACAATAGTTCAAGTGAGACAATAGTTCAAGCGAGATAACTGTGAAAGGTGAGAAAACTCTCTATTCTCAAAGTACTCAAGGAAGAGAACGATAACGTAATGATTGAGGTCAAGTTGTTCAAGATCATAAGAAGGAAGAAGGAGATCAACAAAACTAGTGTGGCAAAAGATGTGGTTGGAGAGTAGGTCGGTCGACAAGTCACTCAAATATTGAGTGCTTCAAGTGTGGCAAGTATGACCATTATACAAATGATTGTTACTCAAACAAGTGTTACAATTGTGGTAAGGTGAGACATTTTTTAAAAGAATACCAAGCTGAGAAAAAGGTGGGAGAGACCTATTTTGTAGAGGAGACGAATGTAGAAGCAATACTATTAATGGTCGATCACAACTTGGCTAATTACAAGAATGTCGATTACAACTCAACAATACATATGAGAACAAATTACAAATCGGGAAATAGTAGTAATGAAGTTCAAGAAGATACCAATCAAAACTTAGTATGGTATCTGGATACAGGTGCAAGTAACCATATGTGTGGGGACAAACACCTATTTAGCGAATTGGAAAAAGTTAAGGGCAATCATGTGTCTTTTGAAGATGTTTCAGAGAACTTGGTAAAAGGTCGAGGTACTATTTATTTTTTGTAAAAAGATGACCTAACAGATCGATCTGAGAAGTGTACTTTGTTCTAGATCTCAAGAATAACTTTTTGAGTACAGGACAACTGATGGAGAGAGGATACTCAGTATTCATAAAGTCAAGTGTGAGGTTGTTAGAGGAAGTCGAGATGTTACCAAAGAGGAGAAAGAAACAACAAAGTCGATAGACTGTTGATCTCTCACTCTTTCCAATTCAAAGTCGAACTTGGTCGAGCTAAGTCTGAGTAGTAGATTATAAAGCAACCTCATCTGAGCTATTATAGACGAGAAGATTCAAGCTATTATGGACGAGAAGGTCTAAGCTGATGTAGATAATAAGATCTGAGTTGTTATAAACAAGATGGTTTGAGTTATTATAAATGAGAAAGACCAAGTTGTTGCATATAAGAAGATTCGAGTTGTTATTGACATGAAGGTTCAAGTTGTTATGGATGAAAAGATTCAAGCTATTGTGGACGTGAAGATCTAAGTTGTTGTGGACGAAAAGATCCGGGTTGTTGTGGACAAGAAGATCTGAGTTATAAAACTCAACAACACATGGACAAAGATCAAATTATCAAGCTATGTCGACCTATTGGTGTGAAGCGTGTATTTAAGAAGAGGAGACATGAAAAACTTTTAGATTTCCCTTTAACAGAGCTCAGTTAGAAGAAAATAGATGATGAGTTTAAGAGTACAGTGAAAATTGAATTTAAAATGGCTGATTTGGGTATGATAAAGTTTTTCTTTGGCTTGGAGGTTAGACAGGAGGAGTCAGAGATATTTATGTCCCAAGAGGTGTTTATGCAAAAGAGGTTTTGAATAAGTTCAAGATGGTCTATTGTACTCCAATCTCAATGATTTTAGAGAAGATTGTCCAGTCGAACAAAAAGGACTGGAGAAACAGACTAGATGATGTTCTTTGGGTGCATAGGACTGCCTACAAGGCACCCATAGGGATGTCACTTTATCGAATCGTCTTTGGAAAGACATGTCACTTACCTATGGAAATAAAGCATTGGGCCTATTGGGTTGTGAAGACTTACAATTTCTCACTTGACTAGGCTGGGGAGGAAAGGAAGTTGCAACTTAATGAGCTAGATGAGATTCGACTGGAAGCCTATGAGAACTCAAAGTTCTACAAAGAGAAAACCAAGAAGTTCCACGATAGCTTGATAGCTAGGAAGGACTTCATGGTTGGCCAAAAAGTGTTATTGTATAATTCTAGGCTTGGAGTCATGGGTGGTAAGCTACGATCAAAGTGAACTGGTGTTAAGTGGTAAAAAGTTGATATAATTATGCCTTGAATTGTTATGAAACCACTTAACTTATGTTAATTCTAATATATTTTTCTCTCAATATAGGATGAATTCAAGAATACCTTGATACAAGAGTAAGGAGCATAATTGTCAGCATAATTGGAGTAAAATTGAAAGAAAGAAGAGCGTTTAAGCAAATGAATGATGTGAGGCCCGACCCAAATTCTCTTATAAAAATATAAGTAGTGTTTTGAGAAAAGGAAGCAGTCTTGGAGGAGAGGAGGTACAACTATTGTTAGGGTTTTGTCTAATCTTCATCAATTATTCACTTCTTCATCAATTGGAGCATTGTAATGGCCAACATGAGTGACTAACTTCATTCTCTTAGGATTCGGTGCACTTCCTTTGAACTCTTTTGTATCATGGTGATATTTTGAGATCTTAATCTATGCTTTG